TGACTTTGGTTTGGCTACTGTTCACCAGCACTCGTCAGATAAGGGAGACCTGGGATATCAAGCGCCAGAAGTGGGTTTGTGTTCAAGAATATTCTGCAGACTATGTGAACACAACTCCATTTTAATGTAATACACATTGCCATCAACCCACTGATTACAATATTGGACACAATATTCTGACCCAACTTCTATCAATTTTTGCATTTCTTGCATACATTCCCTGAAATTGTCAGCACCTATAAGTGTATTAATTTTAATAAGAAATAATTTGAAATTTTACAGATTACTTTCAAATATTGTATAATATATTTTAATACTGAAATAGTTTATTTATAATTATATTTAATATCTTTTAATTACTTTCAAGTCTTATTTTCTTAACCGCATATTCTTGTCCATCATATTTATCTTTAACAACAAATACTTCCCCAAAAGCTCCCGAACCTAATGAACGCAACACTTCGTACCAACGCTTCAAAGCATTCATTTCGGAAACAACTATAAAACAAATTAAATTCATTCATTCATTCATTAAGTTTTGTTAAAATGTCTTTCAAAGTACGTACTCAGAAGAGAGGGGATAAATCAGAAGTTTACTAACGAGTAAATTAAATTAAATATTCATTTTTTGGATAAATATAATTAAAATAAATTTTTTAGAAAGCTTAATTGTCTGAAAGCTCTTTTGATTCAAATTAAGTTATAATGTGAGCTGGATTTTGAAAAGAGATAATTGCAAAATGTTCTAGTTAACTGAATTAATTTCTTAATTTATTTCGAGGAAATTTGCATATTTTTAGATTAATCTTGCATATTTAGCTTTACTTGTACTATATATTATTTAAAAGATATTATATTTTGATCAAATCAAACTACGCGTGTTATTTTACAATATAAAAATAATACGATACTAACGATAACACTGTGTTGGTCATGAAGTTAATTGATTAACATACTCTGAATGACAACTAAAACTAATTCATACCTTTGTTTGATAACTCTTTTATAGAAGAAAATACTTTTTCCAAATAATCCAAACATTTTGCACTAAATTCTTCGCAATTCTTGTAATTATATTCTTTATAATCACACAAATCAATGGTTTTATAAGTTATTTGAAATATATTTGTGAAACAATCGAAGAAATTTGTATAAATTGTTTCAATTATATTATCATTTGTTTTACTAAGAATATGATATATTTTCCCATTCTTTATAGCATATACCATACTTGTGTGATCATTATTTGAGTTAATTATATTCATTTCTGTAAACCTCTTATCATTATTTAATACTTTTGGTGAAATTTGTAACAAATATTCGTTGTTTTCATTTCTATATTGACCGCAAAAATAAATGAATCCATCGTTTGATAAAAAGAAAGTGAAGGCACCACTGGAACAGATAGTCTTAATACCAGTCATGTTGGCAATGAGTTGTGGTTCCCATATATTATCCGATGAGTTGTGTCCCAAATTATACCCATCATTTCGACCCCAACTAAACACCTGTCCCTCAGATGTGATGGCAAATGAACAGTAATCATAACAATAAATGCTATTAATTTCGTGATTAGGATTGAAATTCACTCGAAATATATCCCCGTTTCGTAGATCATTGTCTGGTCCACAACCTAACTGTCCAAACATATTATAACCCCATCCATGGACACAGCCATCATTCGTGAGAATCATTGTGTGATAAAATCCACAACTTATTTGATTAATTGATTTATAACCTATGAATTTGTTATCAAAAAGTACTGGTTTTACGTATAAGTGATCCGTACTCTTGTGTACCATACCTAACTGTCTCACTTGATTATTACCCCAACCATAGAGACAATTATCATGAGTGAGGGCTAATACCAAGTACAATCCATTGAAGAATTGTGTGATATTCTTGTGACACAATCTGTCGATCAC